TCCGGCCCGGCTCTTCATTTTCCAGCACTGAACTTCCGTACTTATTGAAGTTAGGTTCTTTAGACCATACCTCTGCACTCATAGGCGAAATGGAATCCGTCTCGCGGGCATGCCTTTCTCGGTGAACTTCGCGAACTTCCCATACTGCTTACATTCGAATGTATCTCTGATCGATCTGTTATCCACACCATTCCTCAACATTCCCTAATTCGGTGGGTTTGGAGCGGGTTACTTCGTTAGTATTGTTTTGTGACGTTATTCTTCTCTCACATTTATCGACTGTAGCTTTTCAGTATGTTCACTTAAGCACGCCGTATTTCAGCTGAAACCTGAAGTACTTATGGTGATTCGCAGAGTTAAAGTGACTGAAAATCAACCAGCCTTCTCTATAGCTAAAGTTTTCTAAGCACCGATGTAGTGATTTGCGTAAAAGGGTAGGTGTGGAGTGCGTTGATAGTTTTCATCCTTCGGCCTTGATTCCACGAATATCCATCAGGTCACAGGGTTTTCGGATGGTTACACATGCGGCTGAGCGGAAAGTTTTGTGCTGAGGTTTATCGCCATAATGCACTGCGACGGGCACACAAATGTCAACCTGTATATTAGACCGTAACGAGCATATCAATTGGTGCATTTAGTTGAGATTGGATGGTGACTGTACCTTGAAACCGGAAGGAAGGATTAGTTGGCTTTAGTGTTCTGTTCCGTTGTTCCTTTTATTGAAAGAGGTAGAATTACATCACCGCTGACTTAAGATCAGGTTTTTAGAGTATGTATTTTTCCGAAGCAGGCTTTTTATTTTATCTACTGTATTTCTGCTTAACCTTCGTTTTACATGAGTTTTAACTGTCACGACGTATTTTATGTCACATTGCCTTGCGAGTTGTAAAAGTGAATATGCATAATGGTGTGATATGCTTCGATCTACCTCATTCCTAATCTATTTTGGATCCGCTTCTGGTTTCAGTTTACAAAATCTGGCGGGGACCACTTCACGAAGAGGCTGCGGCAGACGTCGAATGGGTGTATCGCCCCTACATGTCCACTACCTTCAAACGTCGTTTTTTATCTGAATAAAAGCTCCCTTTGGAAGAAATAGTGTCACTTTTCGTTATACTCAGCTTGGACACTCTTTGACTCTTAGGATCTCTAACATACCTGTCTGGCTGCGGCACAAAACCGCTTTCCAGTAGAAATTCTTAGGAGTTCGTTGTAATCTCTGACATGTTCGCATTGATACGGTACGAATTTACTTGGGCTGATTTTTGAGAGCCTGCAGTAACTGTCATACCAGGGAACCTTTGCCATTGACTCCGTCCACCGAGCCAAAGATCCATAACGCAGCTACTGCACACTCCCTGTACCACACAAAAGCACTTTTCCATTTATGGTCAACCATACTCCATTATCTTGCGGTTCAGTTTCAGAGAATGCTTGCTTTGTATAGTCTTTAAATAGTATCCACTGTTACAAACTGCGGTCAAATCTGACTGGTCTTCACCGGTTTTACGTATCCCTTGTCCCAATCATTTGGTAGAGAATTTCGGACTCTTCTACAACACACCAAAGAATAATAATAATTTTTAAACTACCGTGGTTGTCTCGATTGAAATCAGCCTCAACCCCATGTATCTCGTCGGAAACTTATCGGCTTTTGTTCACTTTTATACGGTTATGGAGAAACATGCGGGGAACGTGACAGCGGTCGATTCGTTAATGTAGGTTTCTAGTTTTAGCTGTTGGTTGTGTTTTGCGGCGCGACCAGGAGGCCACTCATTGACCCTGATGATGTAGTCCGTACACAATGCATGTTGTATACGACATTTGTATGTGGACTGGCGTGAACACACATTCATTATTATCACGAAACATCTCAGATGCTAGGGGTTACGGCAATAAAACAGCTACGTATGCAGTGTTGAATTTTACGCTTCAGTAAAACAGCTGATCAAAGCTGGCACCCAGAGTCGAAATGTTTACTGATCACTCTGGCCTGGGCATGGGGGCAACCTGTGCCCCATGTGAATAGGGGATTTGCAGCGCTTTAGGCTCGACGCGACACTGCCACCAAACCTATGTTGGAGAAATCAGGCTCGCCAAAACGCCTGGTATAACACAGGACCAATACAATGAGCCGAAGCTAATTACACTCTTCGAGCAGTTGGCGAAAGTCATTGATTTTTAGTCGTTGAGGCCCCAAGCAAGCCGTCTACTTGGCTGGTTTCCTACCACTGAAGTTCTAAAAAATCATTATAAAAGCCAGATCGAAAGAACTCGAATCAATTGCTTGTGGTATGCTGGCTCGGTTCGGCCCCTTATAATCAACAGCAAGCCGGATCGTCAGGTATTTGAAGATAGGAGTGACTGTGAGGACACCAGCGTGACCGCTGATCAATATTTGCAAGCTGGGGTGACGGGCTGAGTAGTCAGGATGAAACAAGATCTGAACGACCCGAAAATACCTTATCTGTGAGACGATGAAGTCTGTGGTTACTAAGCGACTGAGGGGTTATGCGATCAGAGGCCGGGGATAAAGATTGTTCGGGTTGACGAAACAAATTTTGACGTGTTTCGCTGCCGATCACCTACTCAGTTCGCCAATGTCTGCCTTTTCACACCATATTACACCACTGTCTATCCACGAGTGTTTTCCGAGTCCTTTTTCTCACACTCTGGATAGTGATCATAAGTACTACATCGCGTCATTTCGTGATTTTATGTGACACAACGTTGCCACAGAAAGACCGAGATCTCGTGTACACCTTCACTTCTCTGGTTTGGTTTAATGATATCTGATGTGCATACTCCCGGAAAATGACCGTTTGAAGCACAGTGTTTGGTCACTCAGGTCTTGGCTGTAGTCTACAACTTACTCAATGGTGCCTTTTTAGGTTGCGGTACGCTTACTTGTCATGCTGAATTGCATTTCCCATCTAAGACCACACGTTGACACGATATCTTAGGTGCAAAGCAGGGTAGTATTACCCGCAACTGTCAAGTATTAAAACCTTATTCATTTGTGTCCAAGTGGACAGAACGGACGGACTCTAGATATATTGGAGATGAGGCTGTACCCACTTCAAATGAACGGGAACACCCGCGCCAGTTGACTTAGGTGGTTTTGGGTGTGAGACTTGCCCAATTCATGTGCTACATGCTGATAATTGGTAATCCAATTCCGTCATGCCTTCGATGTCAATCGGGTTGGTGTCACCTTCGAATCCTATGTAGCTCTACCGGTCGGATTTAATGCACTCACGAGATGGTCTCAGGAGCGCCCGTTGTCATTCAGTATCCGGAAGTCAGGACATGTTTCTTCCTCACTCAAGTGAAGCCGTAAAGCAGGTTGCTGTGTTGCATTTCACCGCTTACTGAGGTTTGTACTTTAAGACCCCTCACGATGAACTACTTGAGATTAACTGTCTTAATTTACTTTATATTCTCCACTCATGTTGAGTCCACTCTCCCGAAAGTTTGGAGACGACTTTTTGCACTTTGAAATTCAGGATTTCACATGTAGCCCACAACCTTACACTCGGACATGCCACTTCATGCGTTCCCAACGTACTGAATTTGATATCATCTCAGTGGTAGTGAAGCCCAGATCACTGGATGGGAGTTGAAACAGTGATACTAGTTTAACTTGATTGAAAAACCGTTTATTTGGGGGCTCATTCTTTAAGGGACAACAGATATCATTTGCGACCAGTTAGGCACATTTCGTGAGTTCTATTAAGATTGATTTGGCCAGAAATAAGTAAATCTTCATTGCCACTCATTATTCAGTGTCTAGTCCTTTGATTAATATCTTATATGCACGCCAACACCCTATCCACTGATTTCTCGGCACGCACTGAGCAAAACAACCCATTTGTACTAGCGAAATATACTCATTTGCAAACAAATTTGGTTTTACGAGAAACTCACCTGGAACCCAGCTGATAGATTTTGATGGATTTAAATTTGGCGTTCACCCCCTGTATTCGTACGTTTTACGTGAACCGTATTTCGGAGTCCTAATTTGGTGATTCAGCAGTGCTCCTGTCGAGAAATCGACCTGGGTCAGTAAGCCTGTATGACAGTGAGGTTGACGAGGTTTTGCTGAATTGGCTGTAGCAACGGTTTGTGAATACAACCGGATGAAATGAGGTTGCGTGTCAGTTTTCCTGTCTGTCACAGCTGAGTATATTAGTTCAGGTGTCTGGATAACTGTATTACTTTTCATGCCAACTGAAGATTGCAAAGCGATTCGTTCTCTTTACCGTATACTGACTGAGTCATTCGTCTATGGCACTGTGGCATGCTGCCGCTACCTAGATTTTACAAAGTGCAGATGGGATAGGAAATTGATATGTCAATTCATTTGAGTACGATACCTTTCGGCGCCTTCCGTTAGCGTCTGTTAGTTAGGAACGATTGGCCCTTAACTCAAGGAAATTGGTGGTTTTATTTTGATTTACGAGATCTTGGCTCGAGCTAATTAGCCTAGCTCTAATGATCATCAGCATGAACGAGACCTGGCGCAAACGAACTGATGCCGTCCCATCCTTTCTACAAGAGTAGCAACAAGGATACTAAACTAGCGGGAACGACAAGTCTATTTTCACTTGGTGTGTGTCAAAATCGAAACGTTACCCAGTTAAAAACTACTGATTGTTTACTAAGCCGTTCTGAGACATGAAACATTCTAGTGATGTCCCAATTGTTTCCTAGTCAGTAACGGCGTTGGTGGAAAAACGTCCTTGGTCTCATGTGTCAGGAAGGCTTAAAACGCATACGTATAGTTGACCTTAGCTTCCAATAATGAACTTCTGGAATTATGGGGTGTTTTTTATCCTCTCGAACGGGGGCTCTTTAAAACGAATACCGTATTCCAATAAACTACAGCTACCGTTCGGTTTATCTTCAGTAATGTAAATGAGCCGAAAATAATTAACTTTAACGAATCATTCACTGTTTCGAACTGTTGAATAAGTTTGCCGGTATCAGTGGTTCTCCGCATCCTTGTTCGAGTCGCTATACAGCCAGGTAACAAAATGATATTCTCCTCCTTGGAGACTGACGACTCAAATGAAATGGACTGAGTAGCACATAAGAATAGAATAAGTATCAAACATATAAAGAATAGTGAGTCTCGTCCATTCAAAACGAAATGCACTGTTCCCTACGAACCAAAGCCGCTAGCTGGGAATGACCCCAGTACTCATTTTTTCAAGGAATCTAAGCACCTAACGATCAGCACGAAGCATGTTGTTGACCTGATAGGAAAGTTGTTGCACCGGACTGAGTCGCACATAAGAATAGAATAAGCATCAAACATATAAAGAATAGTAAGTCTCGTCCATTCAAAACGAAATGTACTGGTCCCTACGAACCAAAGCCGCTAGCTGGGAATGACCCCAGTACTCATTTTTTCAAGGAATCTAAGCACCTAACGATCAGCACGAAGCATGTTGTTGACCTGATAGGAAAGTTGTTGCACCGGACTGAGTCGCACATAAGAATAGAATAAGCATCAAACATATAAAGAATAGTAAGTCTCGTCCATTCAAAACGAAATGTACTGGTCCCTACGAACCAAAGCCGCTAGCTGGGAATGACCCCAGTACTCATTTTTTCAAGGAATCTAAGCACCTAACGATCAGCACGAAGCATGTTGTTGACCTGATAGGAAAGTTGTTGCACCGGACTGAGTCGCACATAAGAATAGAATAAGCATCAAACATATAAAGAATAGTAAGTCTCGTCCATTCAAAACGAAATGTACTGGTCCCTACGAACCAAAGCCGCTAGCTGGGAATGACCCCAGTACTCATTTTTTCAAGGAATCTAAGCACCTAACGATCAGCACGAAGCATGTTGTTGACCTGATAGGAAAGTTGTTGCACCGGACGAATAGAATTTATTTCCTACCCACCGTCCGGTTGAATCTCGCAGCAGTGCTCACTGAAGTAACTAGTAAATGGTGAAGTTACGCGAACGCCTTCATCTGTGTAGCCAAAACATAGTTTGATTCTGACTGCAAGCGCAAACGTTCTTTTTCTGCACTCAAGTGCATGAGTTTTCAGATTCCTCTTCCACTGTAGTGATAATCTAGTCGGACCGTTTCCGTCACGGGTGTTGTGAATGGAGCAGACTGTTTTTAACC